GTGGACAGTCTTTCAACTGTAGATGTGATGTTAAAGAGGAAATTGGAGAATGAGATTTTGATCTGTACGAGCTACACCTTTGTTACTTATGCATGGGCTAACAAACTCTCTGCCAGATTACCAAAATGGAAATTTAAGAATCATCTGGGTTGGTGTTTGCCATTCGATTACCACGTTCGCATAACGGGTACACAGATAAAAGGTTTTCCACACAGAACCAGTAACAACCCTACATTATCAGCTTCATACATAGACTTAAGTGTAAGAGCTTCTGAACAGCTTACTAGTGACTCGCCAGCTATACAATGATCCGAATCAGAGATGACGATATACGTAGGATGTGCTTAAATCCTATTGTTTGCAGACTTGGATCCGGCAAAAAAATGCTTACCTAATTTGCGGACTATGTCCTGTTTCGTCTTTGCCATCGAGTACATTACATCAACCCTGTGCTTCATTTGCCACCATCTGGTATTGGCTTTTCTCGTATAGGATGGATGGCAATCAATGCAAAGTCCGGAGTCATCAGTCGAGCACACAACGAATACATGGCTTTTTTACTCAACTATGCGCAAGCAGCTGCTTAGTTTTTATAGTGAAAGTGCAAAAAGATCGTAATTTTTTTAGCGCGTAATCGCAAGAGTGGATATCTCAAAGTTATTCGTAAAATCACAAAAAAATTCTTTAGTCACGAAGTGATCGCAGCAGCCCGATCACATTTGCTATCAACAATCAATTATCAACAAAAGTGTAAAGCAGATAGCCGTGATATAGCTTTAAAGCCTGATTGCATTAGAGCAAACAGAGTTGCTTGAAATACTGAAGTTCGAGTACGCTAACTCAATTTCTCAAAATAATGTGCTCGAACGTCACAATTTCTTAATTAAGAAAATCATTGTATGAAGGTGCGATGATAGTTGCTGTGTCAACTCACAGTTCCAAGCTTCAACAGATCTTTAACGTAGCATTTAGCCTTGGATATATGCAGTAAAAACTTTGATTTGGAGCAAATTCCCCCTGCAGAACCCCGGATTATTCAATATATTATATTCAAATGGTATCAAAAATCTGACGTCTTAATTATCAAGTTGGCTGTGCGCAGGTTGCTAATTTTCTATACTGTACTGGTGGGCTTATCAAAGTGTGGGTGTACGCTAGAAATTTATGAGTTCGTTACTGCCGAAGACTCCAACGTATTCTATGTTCCCATTCTACAAGTTGACAACACAAATTGTAAAAGAACAACGTAAGCGTAAAGGTTGCGTATCACTTTTCTTGTTTAGGAACTCAATGCCAATATTGCGTAATTTACAAAACATCGCATATAGCAATATTGAATCTTTCTTTGTCGCGATACATAAATCCCTGATAAATATAAATGCGTCAACCGTTTCACGCTGGCTCAGTGGAATAATTCCCGGGTACGTCATGGATCGTAGTGACCACACTTATACATTTGTGTAAAGAAGCTTCAAATGATCTAAATAAACTTCAAGAAATGTCGAGGTTGCATTCTGCTACATGATCATATTCCATTTGAGATTGAAGACATATTGATGACATGGAGCTCTACATAATGATTGGTAGCTACATGTGACGCGCTTTCGATCACTATAACGTAGGCTACAAAAAGCAACAAATGTA